GTTTCGAGTTCAAGACCAGCCTGGGGTACAAAGTGAGCTCAAGGCCAGCCTGAAATGCATAGCAAGACCCTGTCTCAAAAAGACAAAGACAAAAAACAAAAAAACCCCAGACATATGAAAAAAACAAAAAACAAAAAACCACATATCAATGGAACACAACGGGGGATGCAGAAACAACCCCAGACACATTCAACTATCCGATCTCTGAGAAAGAAGCCAGAACATACACTGAAGAACAGACAGCCTCTCTAATAAATGGTGCCAGGCAACTGGCCATCCACATGCAGAAGAGCGAATCTAGCCCTGTATCTCTTACCACACACCAAACTAAAATCAAAATGGATCAAAGATCTGCATGTTAAAACAGAAACACTCAATCTGCTAAAAGAAAAATAGGTAAAACTCTTGAAAACAGAGGCGAAGGCAAAGACTTTTTAACAGAACCCCAAGTGCACATGAGATGACACAAAGAATCAACAAATGAGATAACACCAAATTAAAAAGCTTTTGTACAGTGAAGGAAGCAACCAACAGAGTGAAGAGACAACCTACAGAATGGGGAAAAAATTGTGCCAGCTATTCCTCCGATGGAGGACTAACATCTAGAATATATAAAGAACTCAAAAGTATTAGAGTTCCTTCCCAAAATAAAAGACCCAATCAAAAAACAAGCAACCAAAATAGATACATCACAGAGGAAGACATATAAATAGCCAATAAATACATGAAAAAATGTTCAACATCTCAGGCCTTTAGATAAATGCAAATTAAAACAACACTGAAGCTGGGTGTCATGGTACACAACTGTAATCCCAGTATTTGGGAGGCTGAGGCAGGAGAATTGCTGCAATTTGAAATACAGCAAGGGCCAGGCGTGGTGGTACACTCCTGTAATCCCAGCACTCAGGAGACTGAGGCAAGAGGATTGTTGCGAGTTCGAGGCCAACCTGGGCTACACAGTGAGCTCAAGGCCAGCCTGAACTGCACAGTGAGACCCTGTCTCAAAAAGATCAAAAAAAAAAGAAATATGGCGAGACTCTGTCTCAAAAAAACCAAAACACTGAGATTCTATCTTAGTACATAAAGAATGGCTATCATCAAGAGAAATCAAATGATAACAAACAATGGTGCGGCTGCAGAGGGAAAAAGGAACACTTCTCCATTGTGGGTGGGAGTGTAAACTACAACCAGTACAAAATTCCTCAAACAATGAAAAGTAGAAATTTTATTCAACCCAGCTGTTCCCCTTCTAGGTACCTTCCTAAAACAGTTAAAGGCATCACATTACAGCGATACATGCGCACCCATGTACGTGCAACTCATAATAGCTAAACCTTGGAAGCAGACTGATGTCTGTGGACATATAAATGAGTAAGGTGTGGTATTTTTGCACAGTGGAGCCTGGAGGAACAGCCGGGGGGACATGTGGGGCAGAGGTCAGCATCTCACCGCCCTGCTTACCTCGTAGTCCTGCTCGCCGGCCCCTCCGGCTGAGCTGCCCACCAGCACCTCTACAAAGGCCGAGCCGTCGTTCCCGATGTCCACACTGTGGATCTGCTCCTCCTTCTCCAGCTGTGGGTACAGGAAGGTCACCATCAGTGTCTGTTCTGCCCTCGGGCTGACTGTGCCGCAGGGACCAAAGAGGGATGGACCCCTTCTGGGCCACCATCTCCCCTGGAATGTCACCTGTGTGTGTCAGGAGGGATCGTGTCCCTAGCATACAGCACAGGCCACGACAGGAGCAGATGTTCCCTGAATGAATGCATCTAGCCTGACCCTATACAGACCTGCTTCCAGATGGTGTTTCGTTTTGTTTTGTTTTGAGACAGGGTCTCTCTATGTAGTCCAGGTTGGCCTTGAACCTGCAGTGATCCTCCTGCCTCAGGCTCCCAAGTGCTGGCATTACAGGCGTGTGCCACCACACCTGGCCTGGGTAATTATTTTCTACGGAAAGCACTTTCTGTAAAAAGGACTTCTTCACCAAAGGATCCGCCATCCCGGCACAGAAAGCTGTGTGGGGATGCTGGGGAGTCAGGAAAGGCTGGGGCAAGTTTCCTGTCTCCCACTTGGGACTTTTTTCTTAGGATCCTGGAATGACAGGTTATTATAACCCTCAAAGGTGCCTGGTCCACCACCTTACGCTGCCCTCCCCTACGCCCTGGGGACTATCTGCTTCTCCCATCTGCTCTGTCCCCTCCCAGTCAGGAGGTCACCAAGACACTGCCTGCCCAGTGCCACGAACATGGCTGCAAGGAAGGAAGAAGCCTGCACTTGGGTCCAAATCTAGCCCTGCCATTCCCAAGCTGTATCCAGTGTCTCTGGGTGGCAGTTTGCTCATCTGTGAAAGGGGAGGGTCGTCCTATCAACCCTCCGCCCGCAGGGAGTTGAGATGACCCACGATATAGCAACTGCAGGCGGCATCTGGGTGCTCACAATGTACCGGACAGGTATCTGCCCTCTTCACTGTGGGCCTGGAAGGCAGGTGCTATAATTATCTCCACGTCGCACATGAGCAGCGGAAGGCAGGAAGTGGCTATGTCACACCACAGCTGTGCAGGCGAAGCCTGAGGGGCCAGGCAGGCTGCTCAAAGCACGCACTCCCGCACCCAGCACTGCTGGCCAGGGGCGGCGGAGGTGGTGGCAGCGGCGATGGTGGCGGCAAGGGCAGGGCCTTTCCAAGGCTGAGCCCCACGGGCTGCTGCAGCTGGACCCCTCTCCAGCTGTGCCTGTGCTGGTGTCTCTGCTGAGATGCTACCTCTCCAGAGACAAATACAGAGCCCCTGCTCCCCCTACCAGGTACTACTCTATCCCTAAGATAGCTGTATTTCTCTTCACTGGCAGCGCTCAGTACTCTATAAATATGTATTTGTCTTTGCTTCCCCCTACTCCACTTTTAAGCTCCAGGACAGCAGGGACAACATATGAGCTGTTCCAGGCTGTGTACCAACGTCAAAAACAGTGTCCGAGCCAGGCACGGTGGTACAACCTTGGAATCCCGGAACTCTGGGAGGCTGAGGCAGAAGGATCACGAGTTTGAGCCCAGGCTAAGCAACTCAGGGAGACCCTGTCTCAAAACAATAGAAAGAGGCTAGAGAGCCCAGGCATGGTGGTGCAAGCCAGTAATCCCAGCACTGGGAAGCCAAGGCAGGAGGACTGCTACACATTCAGGGCCAGTCTGGGCTGCACAGTGAGTTCAAGACCACCCTAGACTACACAACAACACACTGCCTCACCGCACCCCCCACACACACACACACAAATGAGGGGCTGGGGTGCAGCTCAGTGGTAGAGAATATGCTCAGTATGCATGAGGCCCTAAATTTGATTCTAAAGAAAAAAGAATGAAGCAGCACTGATACATGCTATAATATGGATGAAGCTCAAAAACATTACGGTAAGTAAGACAAAATATACACACAAGTCCATGTATACATTTATATAAAATGCCCAAAATAGGCAAAGCCAGGGCGACAGAAAGTAGATCAGTGGTTGCCAAGAGCAACGTGGGGGTAGGGAACAGGGAGGGACTGTTGCTGGCTCTGTGGTTGCTTCTGGGGGTGATGAAAACGCCGAGTTCAAGCGTGCAGGTGGTTGCAGAACACTGTCGGCGTACAGTACCAACTATGGGGCTGCAGTTTACACGCGCGGGGTGAATTCTACGTTCCGTGACATTTATCTCAGAAAAGAAGTGAGTGCTCCGCACGCGTCGTCTGTCAGGACATGGGCTCAGCACGGGGTTGTCTGTGGCCCAGGTTTGTGAGCATGCGCCTTTGCCGGGAAGCCGCGCTGCATGAGTAAAACAAACAGGGCACAGAAGGCCGGCAAAGGGCAAGAAAGATACTGTGAAAATAACTGCTGCACATCTATGGAATGCGACGCCAGGCATCATCTGGAAGGATGACAGAGAACTGTACATGGCGACGGCACATTTCCATGACAAACTGTTACGGGGGAGGACAGTATGGATACCATGGGGTTTTTTGTATTTGTCAGACACACTTGCATGTGTACAAAATGAGCCAGGAAGGGGCTGAGGATTTAGCTCAGTGGCAAAGTGCCTGCCTGGCAAGCGCAAAGTCGTGAGTTCGGTTCCCGGTACCGGAGAAAAACAAAACAAAACAAAAAGAGCCAGGAAGGCCACACAGTGGGCTGCCGGCAGCGGCTGCCTCAGGAGCGAGGCAGAAGTCAAAGGGACACTTTCTCGCTCACAAAGTCAAGTCACTCATCTCTGGCAGTTTACTCGGAAGATTCAGAGCCCGAGTCTGAGGAGCACGCTGGGGCTGAGCTGTGGGCAGCCTGGCTGAAGAGAAAAGTGGATCGGTACCTGATGCCTATGGAGAGGAGGATCGATGTCCCTTTGCTTAGCTAGGGAAGAGTGAAGATGGTTACAAAGAAGAGGAAGATGAGAACAGCGAACAGGCAGAAGCTGACGGCTCAGAGACCGAGCTGTTGTCTTCTGCTTCTAAAGAAAGCACCTGCGGTGACGCACAGGGCTTCCATCTGGTCTGCGTCCCAGCCATCCCCTCTGGGCCGGGAGTGGTTGGCAAAAAGGCTGAACTCCCTGCCTGGGAGCAGGTGACGGGTCGGTGACAGAGCTTCCCGTGGCTACTGCAAACAAAAAAAGCGTGGGGCTGTCACGAGCAGAGGGCTGAACCCCGTGTGGCAATTTACAAGATGTTGCAAAACAGCGTTTGGAGAAAATACAGGGCAGCAGGAAAACTCACAAAGGAGCCTACTGTGTCAGTGGCCAGACAGAAGCCCCGAATCAGCACTGGGCGAACGTGACGTTGCCTTGCACGTGGGCACTGCCAGACACAACTGGCTTTCCCGAGGCTTTCCACCACGGACCAAGTCAGCAACCGCTGCAGCGCTGGGCTCCCCGCTTCTGTGCTTGGCCTCTGCGGTTCACCCTCCCCTCGGAACCGGAAGGATCACGGGAAGACTCAAGTCAGATCCGACCCCTCCTCCGCTCAGAGCCTCCAGTGGCTCTGGTCTCACCCAGAGTAAAAGCCCTTACAGTGGTCTCCCAGGCCTTGACCGTCTGGGCCCACGAGCTCCTCTCCTGCCTCTCTCACCTTGGCTGACCTCACCCTGGCCACACAGGCCTCCTTGTTCCTCCACTATGTGGGGCACGGCCTGCTCTTGAGCGGCCCCCAGGAGTGAGCTGTATTCATAGCTCATCTTGCTCAAGTGTCACCCTCTCACGGTGCCTTTCCTTGACTTCCCTACTTAAGTGAAAATCTCTGGCCACTGCCCCTCCCCAGCCAGGCATCCCTAGCCCCCTGTTTAACTTCCTCCACAGCACTCCTCCTCTGGTAGGTTTTACCCACAGTATGCCTGACAGTCTCCCCCTAATAATGTAAACGCTCCACAGGACTGTTTCTGTCTTGTACTGCCCACTGCTGTACAGGCCCAGAACCTAACAGAGCATGGATTACAGAAGACACTAAATAATGCCGGGCGTGGTGGCACACACCTCTAATCCCAGCACTTGGAAGGCTGAGGCAGGAGGATTGTTATGAGTTCAAGGCCAGCCTGGGCTACAGAGTGAGCTCAAGGCCAGCCTGAACTGCACAGTGAGACCCTGTCTCAAAAAGACAAAAAAAGAAGGCACTAAATTCCCACTGAATGAACTGACTAATGAAGGAACAAGTGAATCCACCTACTGCCTAGTGTCCAGTCCTGTCTCTACGCTGGCAGCTTCTACATCTCTGTCTCCAGTTCCACACCTCACTCTTACCTGCCTCCTGGTTGCTACCTCAAAGTCACATCAAAGCTGGATGTCACTACCAAAATGCACTGCCTCCTCAAGCTGCTCCCACTTAGGATTTCCTATTCTGGTAACAGCTGCAACACTCCTCCAGTACCCCCAGAGCCGAGGGTCCTATTCCTTGCCCCTCTTGCTCCCCTGCCTCCATGTTCTGCCTCTTCTTCCTCCAGTCTCTCAGGTCTACCTTCCGACCGGCTAAAACTGAATGTCATTTCTCTGGGGTCACCTGAATGAGAACTCAGCATCACCCCATAATAAAATCACAAACCCCTCCCTTTATACAAACACCTACATGTTGACAGCATTTCTGCAGACGTTATGTCACTGCATTTTCACAACCACACTGGGCCTAGATTCATCCCCCAAAGTACAGATGAGGGACTGGGTTCAGAGAAATGAAAAAATTTGCCTGAGGTCACAGGGTATGAGGGAGAGCTGGGATTTGAATCTAGTTCCCAAAACTAAATCCTCAGAAGTCTGGATCTCTCACAGTTTAAAAGACTGGCTTTCAGGTAAATTGCATAATTTCTGTGGGCCTCTGCTTCCTCATCTGTAAAATGGGATAATAACAGATCCTAGGTCATAGTTTTTATGAGGATTCAATTAATTAAACCATGTGAGGTATGCAGAATGGTGACTGTCAGATTGTAATGTTAAATAATGTTGGCTTTTGTCATTATTCTTATATTAAGAGATTTAGGAGACACAACTGCAATCAGTCAGAAAATTTTGTGAATCCTCAGCTAATTCTCAAAAGGCTCTGTGAGAACTACCGAGAAAAAGAGAACAATAGTATGCTCAGCACCAGACAGTCATGACAGTCTTCCCCTCACAATCTCACCACTTTCTGTCTCCAAACACCACTCCACTCAGAGCTAAGGAATGTGGTTAGCAGAAAGCCAGTGTGTGTGCCTGGAGAGCATGGCTCTGTAGTAGCATGCAGGAGGCCCTAGGTTCAACACCCAGCTCCAGCATCAAGAAAAGAAAAAAGTTAAAATGTGTTATGCACAATGTACCAACTCCGCACAATGAATGTAATCATTATGGACTGCAAACACACACTAATAAAAATAAAAATTAAACAACAACAACGAAACAGCTGAACATGGTGGTGTACACCTGCAATTGCAGGTACTAGGGAGGCTGGGGCAGGAGGGTCAAGAATTTGAGGCCAGCCTGGGCAACTTAGCAAATCCCTGTCTCAAATAAAATTTTTAAAAGGGTTGGGGACGTAGCTCAGTGATAGAGTGCTTGCTTAGCACGTGTAAGGCCCTGAGTTCCATACCTAGTGCTGAAAAAAAAAACCACACTGGTGTGTGAGCACAATGCAGTACAGTAAAATGGTCAGAAGTATCACACCCAGTTGTGAATTCAAGTCTTAGCACCGTCATTTATTAATGGTGATGGCCTTTATATCATATCTCCCAGGTAAAACATCCAGGACACCACCTGGCAAGGCAAAGAGGTTTAAAAACTCATTAGCTCTCTTATCTGACAGCAACAATCTGTTCAGAATTTTTTTCTTTTTTTTTTTTTGGTCTTTTTGAGACAGGGTTTTACTATACAGCCCAGGCTGGGATCAAACTGCGACTAATCCTCCTGCCTCAGCCTCCCGAGTGCCGGGATTATAGGCGTGCGCCACCACGCCCTGCTCTCTGTTCAGAATTCTACAGCCATCTCAGGTCAAGCCTCCCTTTCCTGTTTGTCCCTCCCAATTCACAGGACCCCTGTATGGAGCTGGTGAAAGCACGAACAAAAGGCTCTCAGAACAAAGCCAGCCAACACTCCAGAAAGGGTAGCTTAGACTGACCACTTCATTCCCATGCCCCAGTGCCTGGGTCGCCCCACTTCCAAAATGAAGCTGACTTGTTCACACCTTCCATCCCTGAGCCCACTGAGTCTAGGAAGCAGGATACATAGAAAATGATTCATTCTGTTCCAAATCAGGAAACTGAGGCGCAGAAGGTGAAAGCAACCTACTCCAGGCCACAAACAGGTTTAGTCCTTGGGTCTCCTTTCTTCTGTTAAGGGGCACAAGGATTATGCAGTGTGCCTTCCAGGTAAGGAAGCTGAGGGTCGTCTGTGCCCCAAACTGCCATTTAGCTCAGCACAATCTGGACCCTGGGACTCCATTCCCCTAGTGAAACGGAGGCGGGGAGGGCGGGATCACCTGTAGGACCACCGAGATGGACTTCTCGCCCGCCTTGGCTGCCCGCCATTTCCGGTAAGTGTCCGCCTTGAGGAGGTTTTCCGCACAGTGGGTCTGAGGACAAGAGTTGAAACGGAGGGTTAGGGCAGAGGTGAGAGCTAGGGCCCCGGCTGTCAGGTCACTCCTTGGGGTCCTCCATGCCCTCTGCGACGCCCCAGATCTAAGTTCCCCCGTTAGTCCCCCCGACACCCTGCCTCAAATTTCTCCCACCATACTTCCCCTGGAAGTTTCCTGTCTCTCTGGAAGTTCCACAGAAATCAGAGTTCCCCATTTCCACATCTCCTCCAGGATTCACTCTGAGCTGCTCGAAGTCCCCCCACGACCCTCCTTGGACTTCCATGAAGTTCTCTTTTATACCCCTCCAAAAGTTCTTACGTCTGCCAACCTCCCCCACGCCAGTCCCTCACCGAATCCTGGCTGCTGCAGGACACGACGTGGCGGAGGCGGATCTCCGGCATGCCAAAGTCGTGGGCTTCACCTACACTAGAGAGTGAGGAAGGGTCCCGTTTGGGGGGCGGGGAAGGGGAGCTCCCCGCGCGGGCTTCAGTGCGCAAGCGCGCGAGGCTCGGGCCTTTCAAACCGCGGCGCGCGGCGCTAGCGTCGACTCAGCGCAAGCGCAGACGAGCTTCTCCAGAGAGAGGCGCCGCATTCCCTAGCAACGAGCTTTTTCTTTGGCTCCACCCCTTTCAGATTCCACCACTCTCTTGCTGGCCTTCTGGATGACTTTACGTACTGTTTTCTGGGTGCCTAGCAACAAGAGCGGCCTTGGCTATTGGTGCCCAGAAGAAATTCGCCGTTCTCATTGGACGGTGTAGTCAGCGCCCAAATAACCCCGGAGAGCGGGGGATATCTGAAAGGCTTTTAGCAGGCAGCCTGGATCCTACTACAACAGGATCTCTCTACCTGCTTCTGCGCCTACACCCTCTCCCCGTCTCCCTGCACATACTCGAGAGAACTCTCACATCCCAGCCCTCTGAGGCCGCGGGCGGGGGAAGGTCCATTAATAAAACAAAGCATATTCCCTAACCACGTACACACCACACACCCAGCCTGGAACGCGTCCACAAATGCCTCAGTTTACCAGTATACGACCTTTGGACCCTTGTCTCTGACTACGCCCGCCTCTGGCCGCTGACGGGTACCCCTCTCCGTTCGGTCCCCTCGAGACCCAGAAATGCGGTCCTGGGCGGGGTTGGGGGTGTAACAGCCTAAACACAGAAGATGGAGTATGAGTCAAGCACGCGATGAGAAGGGAGACAGGCCCCCGGCCCCCGCAGGACGAGCCTGGACAAGCTGGGCGCTCCCGAGTAGGACCCCACCCACGCTAGGCGCCTCCTGGGGAAGACAGAGAAGAGGGGATTCTAGTCTTCACAACGCTCTTCACCCGCAGGGACTCAAGCGACCCAACTTTGATTTTGCTGGGGGGCGCGGGGAGCGGTGCGAATGTCCGAAAACAAGGCAGTAACCTTTGGAGCAGTCAAGGAAGAGGGGGCTGCGAGTCCTGACTTCTAGGATCCTCGTGGTGGACGGGGCTGAGCACAAATGTTCAGCTTCCTTTTGGATGCTGGTACCCGGAGGCTGCGGAGGACTGCCCCGGATTCTGACCTCAGCTATTTTTCACCCCACGGTGAAGGTGGGTCCGGGCCCGCCTCTCCTCAGCTTTTTATAAGGGCAGAGGCCCCGGGACTGCAGGTTCACACACCATGGGGCTGTCCACACGACAGGACACCTTCCTGCTGGCCTTCATGCTGTTCTGCACCCTCGTGGGTCCCGGTAAGTGACAAGAGACCTGGATGGCTTCCTGGAATGTAGGCAAGCAGACTGTGAGAGCCATTCAGCAAGGCCCCAAAGGGGGAGGGGGGGACTTAGATTCAGAGGAAGGCAGAGGATGAAGACGAGAAAGCCTAGGGTGCAGAGGAAAAACCACTTGATTGGATCCATATGTGGGAGGCTTGGTGGGCTCTGAATCCTCTGCCCCATAGGCAGAGTCTCAAAATAAGACAGTTCAATTCTAGGAAATGAGATGAAGCTAGGTGTGGTGGCGGGCGCCTGTAATCCCAGCACTCAGGAGGCTGAGGCAGGAGGATCAAATTGCGAGTCTGAGGCCAGCCCGGGCTACCAAGTGAGCTCAAAGTCAGCCTGAACTGCATAGCAAGACCCTGTCACAAAAAAAATTTAAAAAAAAAAAAAAAAAAAAAGGAAATCAGATGAGAGCTTGATTAGAAAAGAAAAATTTTTAAAGTCAGTTAATCTTTCAAAGGGAAGACAGATTTCCTTTCCCTCTGAATTCAGGAGTTCAGGCACCCAGCCCCTTCCTCCTCCTACCTGTAGATGCAGGAGTCCAGGCAGTTTCACTTTGCCTAAAACTCAGGTGTCTAGGCCTCTAGCTGTCTCCTCTCTCAGGATCCAGAACTCCATCTGGTCCTCACACCTGGCATCCAGCCTCCTGTACCTTTGCCTGAGCTCATATTATCAACAAGGCTTAAACTGAGCATGGGGACACATGCTGGTAATCCCAGGACTCAGGAGGCTGAGGCAGGAGACTGCCACCTATTCCAGGCCAGCCTGGGCGACACAGTGACTTCAAGGCCAGCCTCGAATACATAGTGAGACCCTGTCTCAGAAAACCTATGCGGTACCTGCAAGGCGGAAAGTTCCACACCCAAGACCCAAGAACCAGCTGGACCTGAAATTTCACAGAATTCCATGGAAACCTTTGCCACGACCCCTCCCTGCCCCTGAGCTGGCTCGGAGGACCCTGGCGTCCAAAGTCCCCAGCCTTGTAATTAGGTGAACAGGCTCCAAGGTAGAGTCACTTCCCACCCCTGGAAGCCGCTTTGCTGGCATCATCCCGGCTTCCTTGTTAGACTCTGGACAGTTCCCTGCACAGTAATCAATGCCCCACCCAAGAAAAACCAGGGTGACACTAGTTCCCCCTCCCTCAGAGGCAGAAGTCTGTCTCCTCTACCTTCTTTGTTTGTTTGTTCGTTCTGAGACAGAGTCTCGTTGTGTACAGGCTGGTCTTGAACTCACTGTGTGCTCAGGCTGGTCTCAAACTGGCAATGATCCTCCTGCCTCCGCATCTGGAGGGCTGGGATCACAGCCCTGCACCACCAGGCTCCCCCGCCCTTCTGAACGGGAGTATTGAATTCATGGTCTGAAGACCGCACCAGTAACTCCAGCCTCCCCCTCTGGCTTCAGGCTGCGGTCTCACCTGCGAGGTGTGTAACGGCCCCGAGGACACGTGCAGCGGGAAAATGAAGCAGTGCGAGCAGGGCAAGGACACGTGCGCGATTATCGTGAGCGAGTCCCACGAAAGTACGAGGGCGTGGAGCGCGAGGCGGGGGCGGGAGGCTGGGGTGGGGAAGGGTGGGGAAGGAGCGGCGCAAGTGGCGTGGGAAAGTGGGGGCGAAGGTTAAGGGCAAAAGATGCAAAGGGCATCATTGTAGTTCTCAGGATAGTCAGGATAGTCTGAAACGGACGGAAAATCAGCAGGGAAGAAAAAGATTGGGGCAGAGTGAGGAACAGAAAAATAGTGAGGGGTTAGAATCTAACAGACAAGAGGCAAATGGGCTTACCCCGTGTGGTGGTGCACACCTGTAATCCCAGCACTAGGGAGACTGAGGCAGGAGAATTGCAGCAAGTTCAAGGCCAGTTTAAGCTACATAACAAAACCCTATTTCAGAGAAAAAAAAAAAAAGGGTTGGGATATAGCTCAGCGGCATAAGTGCTTGCCTGGCAAGCCTGAGGTCATGAGTTCGATTCCCGATACCAAAGGAAAAAAAAAAAAATGTAGATGGGGTGCAGGCAGTAGAGAAAGCAGAGGCTGCGCTGGGCTGCCCTGGGCCTGGGGAATGTGTTCAGGGAAGAGACCTTTCCTGAAGGAAGACAGGAAATAGGGATAGGAGGAGACAGAAAACAAGCACCCCAGATAGTAAAGTGAAGATAACCTCAAAGTATGGAGCAAAACCTCATAAAGAGAAGAAGAACTGGGTGTAGTGGCCCACATTTGTAATCCCAGCACTGTGGGACGCTGAGGCAAAAGGATCCAAGTTTGAGCCCAGCTGGGTAATTTAACAACTGAGACCCTGTCTCAAAATAAAAAAGGGCTGTGATGCCATTCGGTGTGGAGGTCCTGAGTACAATCCCGAGTACTGCCAATAATAATGATGATGACAATATAATAATAATGGCCATTCGGGGTGGCACACACTTGTAACCCCAGCACTGGGAAGCTGAGGCAGGAGGATCACTGCAAGTTTAAGGCCAGCCTGGGCTGCATAGTGAGTTCAAGATCAGCCTGAACTAAATAGCAAGAGCCTGTCTTTAATAATAATAATAATTATTATTATTATTATAATGTATAGGTGGGAAGGCCAGTGAGTGAAATGGAAGGGGAGGGGGCATAACTTAAACGAAAGAGCCCAGCTCAGACCTGAGGAAGCATGGGGCAGAAGGGAGCAATGGAGGACTTCATGGTGCAGGGTTCAGGAACGTTAATTCACAGCTGAAAGAGACCCTGAGCCCCAGGAGAAATCTCCTGAGCAGGCTGAGGTCAACTGTGACAGCAAGAGGAAATCGTGAGGACACGAGGGGCTGTGAAAGGAAGGTGGGATAGAAGACTGTCACACGCGGTCAGCAGGTGAAGGAGAGACCTGAAAAGACCTGAAGGCCGGAAGAGTCCCGGGGAGAACTGTGTAGTGAAAAGGAGCCCTAAGTGGTGTAAAGAGGGGAGACCTTTGAACCGGGTTGGAAAAGACCACTGGAGGGGGGACACGGAGAGCAGAAGAGACCATCTCAGAGGAGACAGCAAGCGTGTCAACAAGAGACCATCCATGGGAGGGCTGGGGAGTGACCACGTAGGAGTCCAGGAGAGGGATATCAGTGGCGGGGTACAGCGTGGGATCTGTTGGAGGAGACCGAGGGGGCAAAATCTAGAATGCTGGAGGAGCCGGGCATGGTGACGTGTGAGTTTGAGACCAGCCTGGGCTACAAAGCGAGCTCAAGGCCGGCCTGAACTGCAGAGCAGACCCTGTCTTAAAAAAAGAAAAAAGAAAAAAGAAAAAAAAAAAAAAAAAAAAAAAATAGAAGGCTGGAAGAGACCACTTTTACACAGGCATGGGGGTGGCCATGGCACCTTGGAAAAAGACTCCAAGAGCAGTATGGAGGGGTGTGTAGAGTGAGTAGAAAGGACCACACCCAGTAGGCCCTTGGGTTTTGGCTGTGAGAGCCCCAGGGAGACCACCAAAGGCCAACTAGGTCTCATGGTGCAGAGGAGGGAGGGCTACCTAATAAACACTCAAGAGCAGGCAGATTAAGGAGCACGGCTTTAGGAGCTGGCAGAGGCCGCCCAGAGGGGTTGCCGCGTTGGGGAGGAGACTCAGGAAATTCTGTGAGTTAGCGGTGAGCCAGCGCCACCTGCCCTCCTTTCCTACCCCTCTCCACAGAGGGCCCTTACGTGAGCACCGTCAAGGCCTGCATGAAATCCAGAGACTGCCACACGGGCTACGTGTCCACCACCATGGGACCCAATAACTACATGGTGACCAACACGCATTGTTGCCAGAGCGATGGCTGCAACCGTGGCTCCGTGCCTGGTAAGTGCTAGCTCAGCCCAGCTGAGGCAGCCGCACCCCAAAGGCCAGGCTGGTTCTGAGCCTCAGTTTCCTTACCTGTAAAATGCAATATCCATTAGCAAGCCTGATGTGCTCCAGGGCCGGGGGGCGGGGAAAAGAGATTGGGCTCAGAACCTAAACTTCCTATCCTTCCAGCTCCCCAGTACAATCGCACCGTGAATGGCCTGCTGTGCCCCTCCTGCGTGGTGCCCTTCCGGGATACGTGCGCGGCCACACAGCTAGCCCAGTGCGTCGGCCAGGAAACGCACTGCATCTACTTGGCCGGCAGAGCGAAGGCTGGTGAGTGGCGCCTGGCTCTGAAAGAGAGGACGGGGGTCCCAGGACTGGAGGGCCAAACTGTTCTGTTCCAGGGGAGGAGGGAGGGACTCCAGAAAACTGGGGGAGGAGGTGGGAGCGGCTGAGCTCCTGAGTCCTGCAGGAGGGGCTGTTTCCAGTCTGAAATCTTCCTCCCAGGAATCATCAGTGCCAAGTTTGCCACTCGGGGCTGTGCCACGGAGAGTGCCTGCCGCACGAAGGCTGGGGCCGAGGTGCCCTCAGCCTCCTACCACTACTTCCTCCACCGGGCAGACTGCCACGAAGCCACCACCTTGCCCTATGGCAGGGCTGAGTGAAGGACTGAGGACTACGTGTGGCTTGAGGTCCCCGTTTGTCCTCAGCATGCAGCCTGCCATGTGCTTATAAATTAAAGCTGACAGAGGAAGCCTGAGTCCTTGTGACACGGTGCATCTCGGGGAGGCGGGCTGCAGAGGGTTTAAGCCTTGGTCTTCCTTTCTGACTTCCTCTCTCCAAGGAAGAGGGGGAGGTCCTGCCTTTTACAGAGAGACAGTCATTATTGTCAGGACCTGTGCTAAGGTTTTCCTTGCTACCCCTCATTTTACAATCATAATGGCTCTATGAAATTGATATTATTATCCCACTTTACAGACTAACAAACTGAGGCAAATCCTGAGTGTCACTTGCCTGGGTCAGCTAGGAAGAATCAGAACCCTGACTTGAACCTCAGTCTATCACACTTCAGAGTCCTTGATCAACTCTCCTGATTAACCTCTCCCTCTGTTTGCTTCAGTTTTCATTTCTGCAGAATGTGGATGTCAATAGTTATAACCTCTTGGGAATTGGTATGAGATAAATGAAACATGAAAACACTTAGTGCAGTGCCTGCCACCTTGAAGAGAATGATGGTTCTTCCGACAATGTCTGAATAAATAGTAATCACCATAATAGCTGCCACTTACTCAGTGGTCATTAGTGGGCAGGTGCTAAGCATTACGGCAGTCAGGACAGACAAGATTATGCTATAGTAACAAACAAGTCCCTAATCTCTGGTTTAAAACAACAACATTGTATGAGTCACCAAATGTTTCAGTACTGCCTCGTAATAAACCGTCTCCAACCTGAGATTTAGGACAAGCATTTCTGTTTCTAAGGTGCTGTGGGCTGGCAGGGTGGTTCCTTTTCTAGCTGTGTGTTGGCTGTTTTGGTGGGGTGGGGGGTAGGGAACTGTCTCCTCCATGTGCTTCTACAATCTTCTGGGTCAATGACGTGGCCCGCTGGCAGATGTTCTCACCACAGACCACAGGAGCATAAAAGGCAAGTGCATATTTTTCTTTTTGGTACCAGGAATCGAACTCAGGACCTCACACTGGCCAGGCAGGCGCTTATGCCACTGAGCTATATCCCCAGCCCAGCAAGTATACTTAGGGTGCTTGCAGAGGTTAGGACTGCTAACATTCCACTAAGATGTGTGACGGACAAATCTAGAAGCACGGAAGTATTCTCACCCTCTGGTGGGAGGGAAAGGAGTGGATACTGCCTGGGTGCTTATGCACAAAAGGCTGATGTTCCCCTGACTGGAATACTTTATTTTATGAGAAAAAAAGTAAAAATAATCAAACAGTTTCAAAACAGGTTAGTAGGAGAGTTACAATAATTAATACATTGTGTATTGTGGTCTTCCTAGTAGTTATTCAGAGTATAAGATATAGGCATTTAATTGTCCAAATAATATTAGTACAAATCTTTCTTTTCAGTGAAGAGAAACTAGCTGTGTAACTATCTTAACTATCTTGTGTATAAATATATTTTTTCTTTTTCTCTTCCTTTCTCCCATCCCAGTTTGTCTTTTTTTGTCTTTTTGAGACAGGGTCTCGCTATGCAGTTCAGGATGGCCTTGAGCTCACTTTGTAGTCTAGGCTGGCCTCGAACTTGCAACGATCCTCCTGCCTCAGCCTTCTGAGTGCTGTAGGCATGTGCCACCACGCCTGGCTTGTCTTTTCTTTTCTTTTTTTTTTAAGTTTCTTCCCAGTTCACAATATCTATTGTACAGTTCGGATCCCATTTATTTGTTCAATTTCTCACACTAGTGAGACAATACAATGTTTACACATATGGGTCTGTTTTATTTCACTTCTGAGTATGGTCTTGAGTTGCATCCATTTACCTATAAAAGTCTCCAGTTTAGCCTTCTTTATGGCTGAGTAGTACTCCATTATATAAGAAAAACCACATCTTTTATATCCATTCCTCAGTTGATGGACATTTGGGTTGTTTCTAAGATTTAACTATTACAAATCATGCTGCTATAGACATGGATGCACATGTATCACTGTGGTATGTTTTTAATTCTTCTGGGAAGATACCCAGAAGGCAAATAGTTAGGTTGAATGAGACCTCTAATTCTAGTTTTTTAAGGTATCTCCACTGATTTGCACAATGGTTGCACCAGTTTACACTCCCACTAACAGTGGAAAAAGGTTCCTTTTTCCACACAACCCACCAGCATTTGTTATTGGTTGATTTTTTGATGATAGACATTCTTTCTGGAGCGAGATGGAATCTCAGTGTTGTTTTAATTTGCAGCTCCCAAATGACCAATGAGGTTGAACATTTTTTCATGTATTTATTTTCCATTTGTATTTCTTCATCTGAGAAGTGCATATGCATTTCAGATGCCCATTTTTGGATTGGGTCCTGATTTTTTTTTAATTCTTCATATGTTCTAAATATAAGTCCTTTGTCAGAGGGACAACTGGCTATAATTTTTTCCCACTCTGTGGGTTGTCTTATCACCCGGATAGTGATTTCTTTTGTAGTGTAAAAGCTTTTTAATAAAGTGAGATCTCAGTTGTTGATTCTCTGTAATATTTCCCTTGCAGCCTGGGTTTTCTTCATAAAGTCTCTGCCTAAACCTATGTCTTCGAGATTTCTACCTGTTTTCTCTTCCGGTAAATTTAGTGTTTCTATTTTAATATTTAGATCTTTGATCCATTTTTTTAGTGCATGGTGATAGATATGGGTCTAGTTTTAGTCTTCAGCATGTGGAAAGCCAGTTTTTCCGGCACCATTTATTAGAGAGACTTTCTTCCAGTTAACACATTTGGCTCTTTTGTAAAAGATAAGGTGGCTAGGTGTCTGGGGTTGCATCTGCTTCTTCTGTTCTGTTCTGCACCACCTGCTCATTATGGTCATAGAACTTAAACATGACGTTTCTATGCCACCAACTTAAACATGACATTTCTATGCCAAAAGAACAAGCCCAGGAAAGTGTCACATGTGATTTTATAAAGGCTGTGACCCAGAAATGACTTAACATTGTCAACTCACTGAGCTAGTCACTTGGCCTTACCCAAACCACATGGGAGCCAGGAAGGGCAATCCTGCCCCAGAATCAGAAGGCTGACAGCTTCATAAACAGCATGACCACTGTGGCTTCTAAGAGGCCCAGAATGGCTGGGCGTGGTGGTGTACACCTGTAAGTCCATCATTTGGTAGGCTGAGGCAGGAGGATTACAACAAACTGGAAGCCAACTTGGGCTACATAGTGAGTTTAAAGCTAGCCTGAATTAGATAGTGAGTGGCTGTCTCAAAAAAAAAAAAAAAAAAAAAAAAGATAATGGCCGGGGATATAGCTCAGTGGTATAAGTGCCTGCCTGGCAAGTACAAGGTCCTGAGTTCAACTCCTGGTACCACACACACACACAAAAAATAAATAAATAAAAAATAAAGAGGCCCAGAACCTTCACACTGAGCCATATCCTCAATGCCCTCCCCCTTTTATTTTAACATAGAGCCTGAACACATTTCCTAGGCTGGGCTTGAACTTCCAATCCTCCTGCCTCAGCCTCCCTCAGAGCTGGGATTACAGGCATGTGCCAACATGCCAGTTATAGGTTATTTTTTGTTTCAGCTCCACGACAGTTCTGTGTGATAGGCACTATTACCCTCATCCTCGTTTTTGAGAGATGAATCTGAGACTCAGGGCAGGAGTTTTAAGATTTTAATCTCTGCATCATGCTGCGGGTAGAAGGAGATCACCACATCACAGACAGGAAAGAAATCTGTATCAGTTCATTTCACTTTCTTAAAAAACCACTCCCAAACTTAGTAGTGCAGAGGAATTACCTTTTGTTTAGTTCGTGATTCTGTGTGTTGGCAGTTTGGTTTGGGACCAGCTGGGCAGCTCTGTTTGAGTTGCCAGCTGTGTCTCAGGGCGCCAAGGACAACTGGGCTACGTGTCCCTTTATTACCCAGCAAGCTAGCCTGGGTGTTTTGATGTGGCAGTGGTCCCAAGGACAGCAAAAGAACAAGTCCCAGTGCACACGCGCTTCTCAAATCTCTGCTTACGTCACGTTTGCTGTTGTCCCAGTGGCCAAAGTCCAGGGTGAGGATAAGAGAGGACACAGAGGCGCAGCAAGCTGGGGCGTTCACGGGTCACGCTGGCTCCGGACGTAAGGTGCTTGACATCACAAATCCTCATGTTCCTAACTGTGGCCGAGTCCACTCCTCCCCACGCCCAGGATGGCAGGACTCAGGTCCTACAGATAAAGTCTCCTGAACCCGCCCACGGAACTCCTTTCTGGAGATTCTCTCCCATCCGTCCTCTTCCAGGATCAAGTGTCACCACCCTCAGCCCCAGGGTCCAAGCATCCTTTTTTCCCTTCAAACCACAAAATTACACACAAAGAGATTTCCATTCATTTTTATTCATTCCTCCAAAAAACCCCACAGGCCATCCACACCCTTGGTTTGTCCTTCCTTGTTCTCTATTACTGGGATGTAAGTTCCTCCACCATTACCCAGAAATGTACAAAATTCTGCTATGGTGATGAGGGTGCTTCATGCATGCTTTTTGGGCCTGTTCTGCTTCTGGGAACAGCAATGCCAGGCGGCATACATTTCCTGGGATTCCTGCCCTCTCGGTGTCACAGCCCTGAGCTGTCACGTGGATACATCCTGATGGCAGCCAGTCACCCGTCCATGTGGGAATTTTAGATTTTTCTGCTTCACTGCTCCCAGAGACAGATGCCTCCCTCATAACTTTTTGTCTCCACAAAACCTGAAGTTGAATTCTATCAAACGTCATCATGTAAAATGCAACCACTCCAAGAGTAGTTGTGAAATGATGCCAGTATACAACACATAAATACAAGCAGCATGCTGCAGCAGGCGCAGACACACACACACACACACACACACACACACACACAAATGCAAACTGAATGGTCTTGCTTCCTCTGCTCTGATCACTGGCCTGATTTCTGCTGGCAGGAGGGCAGAGGGAAAAATAGCAGCAAGGTATACAGCAGAGATGTCAGGCAGGACCAAAGCAGGGGTGGCAGAGTGGCAGAAAAAGAGGGCACTGTGTGAGTAAAGGCATGGGGTCGACAGACGATGCCTGGACCAGAGTCATCCTGGTGCTGCCCAAGGCTGAGCGTGTGGTCAGGGGCAACAGGTCTAACGGCTGAGCTCCCGGTGGGCCTGACTTCTCAATGGCCGCCGTCTGTTCTGTGTGTGCGCATGAACGTGAGCACGTACATGCAGTGAATTCTCACAGTGTCTGCGTGAGGCAGACGCCATTCACTGCGTGGCTTGCCCAGGTCACCTCCAAAGTCAGTAGGGCTCTGACCCTAGAGCTTTTCAAATAGGCCTTTGTCTCATCACAGAAATGTTCGATGTCTGTCCTGCTCAATACTTGTGGCTACCGAACAGAACTAGAAACGTGGCCAGAGCAGCCGAGAAACTGAATTTTGTTTGATTTGCTTTTAATTCACTTAAACACGGACAAGCTAGTCAGTATAACTAGTCAGCATAACTAGGTATGTGAATCTACTTCTCTTATTATAAATTTTATGAAATGTACGTAGCACTTCCAATGACAATTTAGTCTCTGAATTGAGATGTGCTGTAAGTATAAAGTACATATCAAATTTTGAAGACAGCAGCTGGGCATGGTGGCGCACGCCTGTAATCCCAGCACTCGGGAGGCTGAGGCAGGAGGATCGTTTTGAGTTCGAGGCCAGCCTGGGCTACAAAGTAAGCTCAAGGCTAGCCTGAACTGCATAGCAAGACCTTGTCTCCAAAATAACAACAACAAAAAATTTTGAAGACAGCATAAAATAATGTAAAGTATCTTATTAATCTTTAAAATATTGATTATATGTTAAAATGGTAATTTTGGGGGCGTAGTGGGTTAAATATAACATCTTACAGTAAATTTCACCTGTTTACTCTTTTGCTATGGCTACTAGAACATTGAAGGTGACATGTGACACATGTTTCTGTGGGACAGCTGCTTGCTGTCACAGCGCCGGTGTGCTTGACTGAGGGGCTCCAGGGCCACACTGGGAGGAATGCTGGATGCTACCCCACTGTGAACCCCATTCCTCTAAAGCTGCATGGGCCCCTTCAGTACCTTGTCAAATGCTTTCCCCATCATGGTCGTCTCAACACTGAGTGGTCAAACTGTGCTAGAGGCGAGAGTTCAAACTGCAGATGGGGATACCACCCCCAACCATCCGCCCCTGGGATCAAGAACCCTGGCCTTCGGCCGTCAAGGAAAACAGGATCTCAGAAGTATTTACAGTTCCGGCCCAGCCCTTTCATTCCGGAGTTGGGAAAATAAGGCACTGGCCCATGTGACACAATGACAGTGACAAAACCACCTTTGCTTCCCGGGTCCCCTGACCTCAGACTCAAGAGTTCTCTTCCATTATATGCTTGCTTCTCCTGCTCTTATTCCTTTTTGTGGTAAGAGGGCAACAACCTAAGTTGTCCAGCCCTAGTTCTGCCACTGATCAATGAATAAAAAAAAAAAAACATTTACTAAGCACCTACGGGGTGTTAGGCACTGTTCTGTGCTGGCGGTACACCAGTGAACACCACAGGCAAAGGAACAACAGCCAACAAATGGGCAAATAAATAAATAAATAAATACAGTAATTTTCGCTGGGGGTGGTAGTGCACACCTGTGATCACAGCACTTGGGAGGCTGAGGCAAGAGGATTGCCGTGAGTTCGAGGCCAGCCTGGGCTGCATAGTGAGTTCAAGCTCAGCCTGAACTACATAGCAAGACTCATCTAAAAAAAAAAAAAAAAGTCAGTTTTTATAGTAATATTTTCTACAAAAAAAAATCAACCGGCCAGGATCAGAAATGGGGACGTACAAGCTACTTCAGTTTTGGTGATCACAGAAGACCTCTCTCTGAGGGAACATTTGAGTGGCAACCTTATGAACAAGGAGCCAGTCATGGGAAGAGGCGGAGGCATAGCATTTCAGGAAAGAACAGCAAGTGCAAAGGTCCTGAGGCAGGACCCAATGTGGCACAGTCAATCAGCAAGATCTCCCTGGCTGGGGGTGAGATGGGGCAGCGACTGAGAAGAGGCAAGGACCACATCACACAGATCCTTGCTTTGTGCCGTTGTGCTCTTGGCCTGCCCTCTCTAGACTTGCTTTCCTCATCTACCCGTTTCCTTCTTCTAGTTTGGACACTGAAAAATCCTTTAACTTGTGGCCTAGAACATTGCAGGCACTGTGGTTACTGCCTTTTCTGTCCCACCATTCTGGGGGAACCCTGCTTGCAGACACACATCCTTTGTGTACACCGGATGACACAGCCTCTTGGGGATAGTGGAGGAGAAGACCGTGTCAAGATGTTCAGACTGTCCACGCAGGACAGCTGCTCCTCCAAAAAGTCAGGTATACAAAACACCAAGGCCAAAAGGGTTAAGCTTACTATAAGGACAGAAGAAACCAAGACGAAACAAAAACAGAAGCACATTCTAGAGGACAGGAACATACACCCAAGATCCTCTGCATCACTCAGCACCTGTAAGGTGGGGGTATTCATATCCCTTCCCGTCAAACTCAGCGAGGCAGCTGCTGGGACGAGGCACAGCACTGAGGTCTGCAGTACAGGTTCTTGCTCTTCCGCATCTGAGTCTCACTCATGGTCCCCGACCACACTCAGAGCCTACCAAGTTCAGCCCTCTCACCTCTCTCTACTGTTCGATCATCCTTCCTACCCCAGACAGCAACATCACACATCCCTTCACTCCACCACACCCAGGAGTCCGCGCTCCGCCATCCCCTCTGCTCCCTCCTCCACGCGCGGACTTCCCGCCACCTAAGGACCAGCAACCAAGGTGCATGGCCCTCTCGGGCACCAGGAATCTGGGACCCCAGAGTCAACCCCCATCTCGTGAAGATTCAAAGTCCATTGTCCCTGGGGGTTCTGGGAGGCATTTTCCTCCTGGAAAACCTAGGCTGTTTCCCTTTAGACCCAGAAGTCCCAGGGTTCTGGCTTCCCAGGGCACCCAGACTCCCCTCCCCTCCCCGGGAGGCCAGTCCACGCAACCCCTCCGGAAGCAGGGCTTCTAAACCGTCTCCCCTGGGTAGACGTCCTGTAACTGCAGTTGGAGACAAGGATGTCCTTCCTTCCAGGAGTCCAGGCCGCCAATCCCTCGAGGACAGGATCAGGGTAGTGTACGCCCCGGTCCGCAGAAAAATCAGGAATCTCGTCCCCCAAATTCTATTCCCCTTCAGGACTCCACATATCCCAAACAGAAGTCAGAGCCCGCGTCCCCCAAGTCCAACGATTCCGAGTAGCACCTCCCCCCACCCCTTATGTCAGGCTCAGGCGTTCAAGTCCCCGCCCCTCTCACTGGGACTTGGGGTTCACCCACCCCGCCCCTCACTGGGCCGGCTCCCCGGGTGCTAGCACCGCCTCGGCGTCCGCCCGCATCTCATCCAGAGCCTGCAGCAGGACACCGTGCGCGGCGCGGTATCCCAGACCACCTGTCGCCGCCGCGCCACCCGCAGGCCACAGGAAGGAGAGGGCGCCCAGCGCGGCGCCGCCCGCTGTGCCCTCGCCCGCCCAGGCACCCAGTCTGGCTTCCACCTCGGCGCGCGTCACCGGGCCCGGGAAGTGCGCACGCGCAGCCAGCTCCC